TGATGTCCTCGTCAGTTCCACCTGTAGTTGAGACGATGTTCAATTAATGCCCATCTCATATTGATGCCATTTTCTCCAATACTATAGTAAGATTGAAATAACTTTCGATCACGAGGTGACATCGTTTAGCCAACCACTAGAAAACCAGTGAGTATTGAACAGCTGTTTTGCCGTAGTTAGCAAGTTTTCGGCTTTGGTTGGTGGTCGCGCTAAAATCAGGAGCCAGTGTGAGTTGGAATTCGTGGCTGAATGACCTATGAGCTCACCCGGTGACCTGAGCGTCCTCGGATGGAACCCCAGTGGGTTCATACTTCTGAAGAGTGCAAAACTAGGACGAAACAGCTTTCCAGTACCAACTACTTGCCCAATGGTTCTCTAACTGGTGTCATTTCACGATTGAACTTGAGACGAATCAAATCCCTACAAATTAACTCTTGAAAATGCATTTTAGTTGTGTTTTTTTTTATGCTGCGTATTTACATTTACAGTAATTTACGTCAGTTTTAGCCTGTCAGCAGATGAAGAGAAGTTTCGAAATAGAAAATCAAGTCTTTTTTATTCTGCAGATATATCTGTGAATACTTTGTTCAAAGTTAGCACAACTTCTTACCAATTTTCATTTCTATGGAAAAGATTTTGTTATGATACCATTCGTGTTCTGAACACGATACAACAACGGGTAAAAGAAACCTCTCTATTTTTTTCATGAATCGATTTCAGTCAAAAGATTAAAAACGAATTTATGTTTACCGAAACGAATCTTTCACTATTTCAGTGATCAAACTCGCCTAACAAAGTATACAACTTTATTACTCCATGTATGTGCGTCGGTGGCACAGTGGTTAGGACTCTCGCCGACCATGCACATGGTCCAAGGTTCGATCCCCTCCCGACGCACACCTGATATCTATGGTCGGCCTGCAAAATTTGGGCTACCGATATCCATTCTGAAAATTCCATACTTGTACCAAAAATACAGTGTGGAATCAAGCTGTAATCAAAAAAATAAATAAATATTTTGTCTACCTTCTTTAAAAATTTCTATTCTATTCCGTCTGAACGTTACTCACACGACTGCTTTATTGCTAGTGTATAAAAACATATTTTTAGTAATTACATAACCAATTGTGTATAAATATACTCCTTCTAGTTAAACTTTCTTTCTACCCAAAGATTTTGAACTCTATCCTCAAAAGTAATGGATTTAATTATCCTATAAATATTCAAGTATTAGTTTTGTAGCGAATTTTGTTTGATTGGTTGGATGATTTTATCATGAGATGACATCGAAGAAGACATTGCGAAATGGTCGTCCTATGTCATGATTTCGCGGAAGTTAGAGTTCATGGGCCACTGGAACGGGTCCCAGTGAGTGGCTTAATGGTCTGCGGGCTCACCTTGTAGTCAGAAGGTCTTGGGTTCAAACCCTGGCTGTGGGTGCATACCGCTGAAGAGTCCCAAACTAGAACGAATCAGCTGTCCAGTAATCCATGCAGGTTTTCCAATGGTTCTCTAATTGATGTCAGCTCATGATGAAATACTCCAAACTATCTTTTAAATAGTCAGAGGGGACATGAGCTCCTTCAAAAGTGGAGATACGCGTTGCTGACTGTTGAGTGCCAACAAGCACGAAACCCGGGTGCAAGCCATCCTGTGAAATCATTTAACAACAACTCAGTATGCACTGTAATGCCTAGCTATATAGTGTCTTGGCCATATCGCAAACTTGACTGAGAAAATTCGGTCTTAACCAAAAAAAAAACAACTAGGCGAATGAGACTGGTAACTACTTAGTGTTTTATCAAAATAGACAGTCCATTTACCTCTTAAAAATTTAACAATTTGCATCATTTCAGACTTGTGTTATTCTTCAAAGATACTATCAATTACTCCTTGTCATCGCGAAAAAAAGTATTTTCATATCTTCAATATAATTTATATACTTTTGTAACATTCCGGTTATATATATAGACAGTTGAGAAGAATCCATTGGAATAATGAAAGATGGGCTTGTATTATCCCGGGAGACTTTTTGTTCCTGCTTTGTTCAAGTTTCTGGTAATTGAAAAACATGCATCAACTTTTTACATGACATGTAATTCAGATATGTACATAAGGATTCTGTTCCCCAGTGCGTTGGTGGCACAGCGGCAAAAATGCTCGCCAGCCACGCTTCATGTGGTTCAAGGTTCGATCCCCGGCCACAGACGCACAGATATTGGAATGTTAAAGGTGAGTTACTCATAGTAAGATTATTTTTGTAATAGGCGTGAAACAAGATAAGTTTAGACAATTAGAGGTCAATTTTAACAAAGGATATAGAATAGTAGGTAGAATGTTTTTCCAAGATTACTCATTCATTTTCAGAATCCATTATTATTTTATTGTATATTGTCAGTGAAATTGCTTGCAGTATATATATTAATTCCTTTTTTTGGTTGGAAATATTGTCTGCATCTATACCTCCTGTATAGTGACTCGGTAATAAAGGGAATTCAGCGACTTTTCTGTTTTACTGCCGAGCAGTAAGTTAAATATATCGGTTTCTAGCATAAATGGTCTACAGGATAGATTTAGCAATGCGCACTGGATTCCTTATGGTGAGTCGGTAGCACGGTAGTAGAACGCTCACTGACCACGCCTCATGTGGTCCAGGGTTAGTTTCCCTACCGGCTCACTCCTTCACCTCGCTAAGCCAGTAGTATGACTGGTAAAGAGGGAGGGTTCGGCACGAGGCCAGCGACTTCATCCTGTAAAAATAAACACCACTGCTACTGAAAATTCAAGCCTCTAGCTTGATATTCTATGTTCCACTGGGAATGTAAAGGAATACAAAAATTTCTGTCCCACTAAATAGCGAACGGTAGAAGGCGAGAGTATTTGCAGTGGAATAACTTATTGGTAACTCAATCTACTGATTTAGGCAAAATGCGTCTATCATGTGTTAGAATCACAATTGGCACATATCTTCGATATTGTGCTACTTTTGTCTCCTGTACTGTGTTTATTTTTTTTCCTTTCATGTTTTATGTGTTATTCCACGAGAATCGTACATTACTTCTCTTCATCACTAAATCCATCTCTCTGCTATTCTACAATCTTGCTTATTTACATCTGCACGTATATACTACTTATTAGCCTTATCAGTAGCCACACCACGCTTATATTATACTCTGTCTGATCGTATAATGTTGTTCTCTAAGTGGGACAATTCAGAGGTGTAATCTCTATGGTTGGTTGTTTAAGATGGAATAATCAGTAGAAATTTTAGGAGGGTGGGGAGTGAACTCTTCTCAGCTTGTTTTGATGAATTTTGCGCGACTGATTTTATCAACAGGTTTTGTTGACACTGTGTAGATGCTTAGTCTGAGTAAATATTTAGTCTGAAGATATTTTTTTGTCTGTCTATGGATAGAAAGCATATTGAGTGGCGTCAGTTCTTCTTGTTGTGATTACATAAACACTACTGTCAAATTCTTATAAACATCCTTTCGTGAACAAGATTATTTCCAAATATGAGCAAGGAGTTGTTGTACTAATATTTTCGTGATCGATCTAAGTAAACATTACCAGTGATTTGCTTCAAAAATTTAGATTACGTCACATGAAAAAGTATTGATTAGCAGAAACTCTTATGATTCAAGTATGCAAGGTTTAGAGCACAGTTTATTTTGAAATTATAATCACAATCCGGTGGTATTTTGCCAAAATATGGAGGAGTCGAGAAATTGTTATCTATGATAATGTATCAATTTATGACCATACTGTATAGACGCTCATAAAATTTCGACGGTTAGGTGTGCAAACATCTACTAATTTGGAATTGCATCTTCATTGGTAACTTGGGGGATGACTCCCAATTACTCTCTTTGTGCCCAACAACATTACAGTCTTGAAATCGATTGGGATTATACGGACAAAAGCTGACGTAATGAAGAGTATCACAATCCCAGCAGGATGATAGGGCTTCCTTCGTTGTGCATGAGTTGTAATCGCGTGAGTAATCGGGATGGTGAACAGTCTAAGTAGGATGAGGAGAGGTCTGTTCAGGACTTAATGAGAATCCGGAGAGTCACGTGTACTTTATGACCACTCTGGTATTCGGAATGGACTTAACTCATATCATGGAGGAGGGTGGTCAGTCGAAGATATCCAGCAGATAGGTCTTTTAATAGCGAATGTTGGATTGTGCTCCAAAATTTTAAGTAACTTCATTTCAATGTCAACGAACGTTGGTGACTGTAGACTGCAGATGAGGATTGGTGCTTTTACCCGATCGTCCGTCAAAAATTTCAATTCACCTCGCTAACACTGATGGTCGACCGTACCATCGTGCGTCAGAAAATTATCATTTTCACTCATGATTAGTTGACACCGTGATATCTAAAATTAAAGAGGGATGAATGATTGCTAAAGTATTGTCTTAATGTCTTTACTATGACGTTAGAGATGCGGTCGCGTGGTTTTGTGGCAAAATTATACTGCATTGTTGGTCAAATTTAGACGGATTTTATTTCGAAGCAGGAGACGCACTTTCCAGGAATCACCTTAGCCAACAGAATCTTTCCAGAAATTATCTTCAAATCTCCTTAACCAAGTATCAACTGTAACATTGACATCAGGATAACAATGGAATTCAGTAATGGCATTAGCAATCGAATCCTCACAAGGGGCTATCACAGCTAGAGTGGGTTGGGATGATTCGATACTAGAAACTTCTGATTGTATGAGCAGATGGATAATTTTTATTTAAAGTATTATGGATGCTTACCAAACCTTCCTTCTTTCATTCATTTGAATTCCTAGTGGAACATACGAATTTAAGCTTCTGCTTTGAAGTCTAGGTAGCAATGGTGTATTTTACGAGGTGGGGTCGCTAGCGTCACACCCAACCTACACGCTTAAATGGGCTCAGTACTGGCTAAGTGAGGTGTAGAAGTGAGTCGCCACGGAATCGAAATCTGGACCACACGCATGGTTGACAAGCATTCTACGATTCAACTTTCACGAACATTCAATAACTCATAGGATTCTTATATTATTCATAAAAATTAGAAAAACAGTCTAGTATGAAATATAGAAACACTTTTTATTTATTCATTTTTCTAATTTAAATATTCGGCAAGTGAATTGTAGTCTTAGACTTTTGATTCAATTGACTATATTGTTGTTTAAATGAATGTTCATCCGTATTTTGGCGCGTAAAACGTGCAGGGATATGTAACGGTGAATAAGACGACAAATTTAGCAATGATTTGTAATAATTTTCATTTGGAAGGTCTGTTGCATTCGTAGTTGTAGTACTTGTTGTGACGGTTGAAGTTGGAGGCACTAAGGTTGAACCATTTGTTGTCGTTGTAGTTGTTGTTGTCATAGAAACCGCTTGTGCTACATTCGGCATAGAAACGGACAAGTGGTAAATTCCTTGTCCAGTAGATTTACCAGTCAATGAACCCAATGAAATTGCTGTTAGTGATAAATTCGGGTGTGTTGTATAACTGTTAGGATGAAGTTGTAAGTTATGATTACTCTGATTAGTTTGTGTATGATTTAGCAGAACAGGTTTAATGAATGATACTTGGCCATGTGTTCGTGAATCACTGTAGGTGTTACTGTTATTCATTGAAATAGCTGTAGAAGTGATGCCTGAAGTGGTATTAGCAGGAGGAATAGTAGAATTCAAGTTGGTTACTGGAGTACGGTAAAGTGTTCGAAAAGTTGAAATTGATGGAAGCTGCTAAAATCGTCAAAGTATAATAATTTAGAACTTAGTGTGGTAAAAAGCAAATATTAATGCATGGATAAAAATGGTCATTCAAATATAAATTCATCTTTCGTATTCACAAAATTTAATATAATTTGCTGGAAAGTGAGCAACATACTTTTCCCGATTAAAGAGTCTTACGTGATATTCAATATTATTGTTCCTTTAGGTTCCGAGCAGAATACACGGCTTTAACAGAGCGTCTACATTTCACCCTGCTCTCCGTAGTCCTTTTAATCTGGCCCCATGAGTGATCGTAGGCTTTTATCCTCTTATCACTCTATCCCATCTATGTCACCCTGTTACATGGCATGAGACAGATAAATTTAGGTTGTCTTCACTTGATTACAGATGATTACTCAACTTGATCTGTCCACATATCTTGAAGGGTTTATCGATCATATATTCACCCTTCGATGGATTCTGTAACATGGGAATACTTGCTAGAGCTTAACAGTTGCCATTTTTGTGAGGTGACAGGGGAATTCGAATCTGTCAAGTGAGTGGCGATATGTCAATGTTTGACCATGAAGGCACTCTACTGGAACTGACAGAGCCGTGTAAGAGATTGTGGAGTGATGACAACCACTGGTGTCAATTAATAATGCCCACTCTTCCCATTTTCAATTAATATCATCATAGATGTGCTAATAGAAATAATCCTAACTGACTTCACCGATTGCCTAGGGACTGACTTGTTACCAGAGAATGGTCTAGTTGACTTAGAGTATGTGAATACGCCAATAAAAGTAGGGTCTTCTGAGCACCTTGGGCAGTAGTCTTCGAATGCTTAACATATGATTGGCTCCTGTCAGGTTTAAGATGATGTTACAGAACTGGTCTACACCGACTTCTAGTTCAAAGTGAAGTGATCAGACGTTTCGTCAGATCCAATGGACTGATTACTGTCAAAATTTCAGAACGCATACAAAAGGTTCATGTGGCATTTGCCAACTTAAATCATCTCTGGAGTAGACGTGATATTCAGCTATCAATCAAAGGATGTGTATACTGCGCAACAGTTCTCTGTGTCCTTTTTTATGTCTGCCATTGAAGGTGGAAGAACAGTAAGCGAATCTATGAGATGCCTATGATATGTGTTACGGATGCCTAGCTATCGCCTCCCCAACAGGCTGTGTTAGCTGACATAACAATAGGCTGGAAAAGAGATAGTGGTAGTTAAACCAAAACTTAGAATTAGTCCATGTAAACCCTGACAGTTAGTTTTAGCCACGTAGAATCGTGTAACCTTTTTGATAGGTGTCATTGGGTTCCTAAGCGCCAATGGCTGGAGACAGCTGGTGATATCACTTGAAATAGTTCTCGGTGGCTCAGATGCATTAGTTCTTTGTATTCTCCCACATCCATTAAACTGTCATGTTTTTTTACACGTTTCTATTATTCCCCCTCACATTTCTGTTTGTTATAATGCTCATGAATCCCTCTTCCTTCCTCTCTCCTTCCTGCCTCTGTGTGCCACATGAGATGTGGCAATTTGAATTACCGCACTCCTGAACAAAGTTCTGTGTTGAAACTCAGCTGGTCATTCACATATTTTCAAGTATTTATACACCAACAGTATACTTCTAGGTGTTTAATAGGATGACTTCAATAGATAGACCAAATTAATTGACAGAACATAATGACTTCTACTCCTAAGAGATGAATGGACTACATCAGTTTTACCTTACAATGTGGTGGGATGAACGAGGCTCATCTAATATGAGTATACATAATAGATAGTCAGTATTGATTAGCAAAAAGAGGTTGAAGTAGGTATCTTGCGTGGTATATAGGAAAGATACTTTTTTTAATCTGAAAGTATTTCCATTGAAGTCGCATGAATATTGGGTGACGGTAGAGTCCTAGGCTAAAACAAACTGCTATCGAGTATTCTCTGGTTCTCCATTGGTTCTCTAACTGATTTCAGCACGTGATCAAACCAGTAACCAATCGAATGCCTGAAAACCAACACTTCGTAACTAATCCTATACACAATAGCGACTAGTTCCATACAGGAAGTTACTTGTGGCTTTATCGGAGTCCAACAAGTCATGTAAGAGAACAGTTGCTCGCTGGTGATATTCGCCGGCGGCTGAACTGTATTTCACGGATTGGTAGAAGTCGTAGTTTATGGGCTACTGGATCAGGTCCCAATGGTTGAATAGTTAGCGACTTTGCCTTGTAAGTAGAAGGTGCTTGGTTTGATCTTTAGTGGGGTCATGAGTGTATACTGATGAAAGAACACAGACTAGAGAGAAACAGTTATTCAGTACTCCCAGTTTTTGTCAGTGGTTCTCTAACTGATGTCAACTGATGGTTAGAAACCTGCAACCAATCAGACCCCTGCAAACTAACACCTGAAAAGTATGCGAAACACTTGTTCTCACTACCCTTCATCGATGTAACGATTCACAAACGTATTAAACAAATATAATTAACTGTGTGTGAGTACAAAACTTCTGGAAGTAAAAAATGCTAAATTTATTATTTTATAAATATATCCACATCTATGTAATATCTAATAAGGTGTCTGGTTGCTTGCTATCGAGGTGTTAATTTTAAAGTAAAATATTCCCTGAAAAAATGAAATACTGATTAATTAAGGCCTCCAGTCACAGGTATAAATAAAACTTTCTTAAACAGGTTTTCTTGTGATTTAGAAAGTAGTCTATTAGTATACAATTTTTGTTAGTAAACATTGTGTTCAATCAACAACAGTTACAACTGTGATAACGGGCTATTCATTATTCATTCTGTAGACTAGAATCTCCATAGTCACCTGTATATATATTAATCAAATGTTTACAATCGACGCCCTAAAGAATTGAAAGGTATAATAATGAATGAATTGTGAAATGACTCATCTGTATCATTTTACAATGGCCAGGCTTAAAATATTCAAACTTTCCTACCAGATAATGAATTCATAATACAATCTGATAGCTAGATGAATGAGATAAAGAAGATGATTAATTTTGAAAATTTTCAGCTAATATTGTGAATTTTCTTTAGAGGCATATTTCTATTTCAATTGGTTCTGTGTTATGGTATTGAGCTGACCGCATAACAGCCCCTCCCTGGCTTTATTTCTTTCTGCATATCCCTTAGTGACAGTCAACCTGCGTCGCATCCATTCCAGGATTTAATGCACTATGTCACTCAACAATCTCTCTAGTTTATTATATCCCATCCATTCAGATTTATTTCTACATTTTTGTTGAGCAAGACAATGTTGGCGGGTTCGTTGCTCATTCTTTCTAACCGACTGTCTGATCTTCATTATCGAACGAAGGTAGCTGTTGATAAAGGTTTAAAGCCTATTGAAAATGTTTTTTGCATGCCGCTCTATATCTATGGTCCATATGGAGAAAATGACTGGAGTGATGTTGAAAATTTCGAATTTTGCTCCTTATGCTGACTGCAGAAGACTTCCATATTGATTTCAGATCATTGAACGTCTGTCTTAGCTTTCCGATCCTGCATTTGACAACCTCGTCCATGTCATTCGCCGGGAGTTGAAATGAAGCTGCCTAGATAAGTAAAAGTGGTGACCTCCTTCAAAATCCTCCCGTCGATAGTGATTGGTGCTTGCTGTTGTTGGTGGTTAGATAATTTCACCTCTGTCTTCTTTATATTCACCTGAATTCCTGTCTTCGTTGCTTTTTCTGCCCAACTGTTGTCTGTCGCCTGTGGATATTCGAGTTTGTGTGAAATTAGACACAAATTGTTTAAGAAATCCAAATCTCCTGAAGTGTCATTGTCAGTCCCGCGTATGCACATCTGCTCGCTTCCCATAGTATGTCACTTGACACAATCAACCAACAGTTAGGAACATCATCGATGCTAGTGGACAGACATTTTTATTCCTCTATTCACTTCAAACCCATCATTGAGTTCTCTGTTTTGGATCACCTGAGACGTGACATTGTCATGTAGCTGCTGACTGAAGTTCATAAGAATTTTTGGTACGCCGTAGTGTTGAAGTCGTTTAGAAATTACTTCACGGTCAATACTGTTAGAGATCTTTCCAAAGTTTAATGAAGTTGAGGTAGAAATTTAACTGCCATTTTTTACTTTATTTGTGATGATGCATAAAGGTGCTATTTATTCGTCACTTCATTTGCTTTTCCTGAGCCCAGTTTGTTCTGGGTGGAATTCTGCATCCAGTGCATTTTTTATTCTCTCTAGAGTGACGCGACCTGACACTTTACCTGTCGTGGGAAAGAGTATGATTCCGTGCCATTTCTTGCATAGACCTTTGTCACTCTTCTTTGACAACTTGACAAGGTAGGCTTTATTTTCAATCAGTAAGTACCTTTTTCTGCTGTAACCTTCTGCATTGGTGAAATAGGCATAGCGTCTACAGTCCCTGGATCTGTTTTCAGTGCTTCGGGAAGAATTCCATCCAGTCCTGTTGCCTTCGCGGACTTCATTAGCTTGATTGCATTTAAAACATCTGCTTTTTTTAGAGGACTAGTGTCCTCTGGCAGTTCCGTGCGTGACTTTGGTGGTATTTGTGGGTGAGTTGCAGGCAGTAGTTGGCTCAGGAGATATTTCAAGTGATTAGCCCATTGTTTGATTTGTTTCTTCTCCTTGGTTTCATCATCTTGATTGATCTCTTTCCGGGTAGAGGTCTGGTTATCTGATATAATGTTCTCAGGTCCCTTTTACCTGCAGCCTGCCTATTCTGCGTCAGTTGCCAGCCAGTGTATCATAGAATTGTCTTTTGTCTTTCCTAGAATTCTTCACTTCTTTGTTCAGTGCAGTTTACATTGAACTCAGCTTCTCCTTCTGTTGCGGATCTTTGCATTGAGTAGGCATCTTCTCTTTCACCATCCTCCTCTCCTCCATAAGCTTCCAGGTATCGACTGACAGCCACTCCTTGTTGTGTCTCTTCTTTCTTTCCAGAACAGTTGTACACGTTTCCTTGAACATTAATCACCTTCAGAGAGTTTCAGTGTCTTTCCATACAGGTTTCTTCAGTGAAGTCACGTAGTGTCTCCAACTTTGATCTGATGTCTGTAGTGAAGGTATCCCTTGTAGTTTTGTCCTTTAGTCTGTGAGAGCTGATCCTTAACTGTGGTCCGCTGCTAGCTTCTTTAAAAGCTTTCGATTTAATTTTGAGAATTCCTTGCTCATATCTGCTTTTGTTCTTCTCGATTTCGTGTCCTGCTGACTGCGTCTCCACTTTCTTGAGATTGAGATGAAGTCTATTGATTTTTGGTTTGTTTTTTAGCTGAAAGCGATGTCGCCTTGTGGATATCTTCGTGTCGTATATTTAGGTCATTGGACTATACGTAATATTATTTAGTAGAGGGAAAGGGCAGAAATATTAACACCTCATCGATACAATATAATAGACATTCGAAGTTGACAGATTCTTCATTGATAACCAGAAATAAAAGTCCTATGAAATTTGTTTCACTTTTACCTCCACTTGTTTGAAAGTCAATTAAGAAATTTCTAGACAAATGATTCTCCTAAAAATGAATTTTATCCGACCGAACACCTTTTTTCCTCCAAATCTAAGATCAGTCATAGAATCACACTTAAGAATTCAGGGGAGTCAAGCTAAGAACTATCAGATTTCAAGTTGATTAGGATGACTTTTGGCCAATCGGTGGTGATCTAATGATCAGTGACGACTAACTCCTACTGGTTCACCTAATAGGATCATCGTCATCCTAAAGATTTTGTGCAGTGAATTGTGACATGAAATCTAGAGATGTTTATGTTTATTAATCACTCATAGTGTGGTGAGAGCAGGCCGTGAGAAAATATGAGCAAGGCTGATTCAACAACCAATCACAGCAAAGTTAACGTGGCAAAATATGATTCGCAGATAGAGAACTCTATTTGTCGAGGAATCCAGAAACAACCAATCAGAAGCCTGCGTTTGTCTGCCTAACTTCTGATAAACAACCAATCAGATGACTGCGCTTGTCTACTTGCATAAGCTATAATAATGTATGTGAAATATATATAAATACGTGTTGATTTTCATAATAAACGATCTGTTGCCTGACCCTTGTCTTCTGCTGTTACAATAGTATCATCAGAGTATCACTGAAAGTGATCTATTCAGTGGTGTTCTTAAGAGGAGGAATTTTCTTAGGAACTCTAAGAGTAGTGTTCTCCAGTTGGCCACTGGCCTGCAGAAACCCAAAGGATAAGATCTGACTTCTTCTACATGCATATAGCACTTCAACTGTCCTTATAAAGTCAGATGTATTGTTCGTTTGCGCGGATCCTCTCTAAAAGACGTCAAGATCACTACTGCACATAGTTGCTGAAAGGTGGCAATAGCTCGATATGAACTGCAATAACTAAACACCTTGTAGACACTATCCACTCTATCAACCTAAAACACCTATGTCATTTACTCACCTTTTTACTAGTAGGATCCCATGCATTAGTGGTTTTTCGACCAAAAACATCCATTCGCATTCTTGGATGAAGTGTTGTTTTAAAAGGATAGGAAACTGGATTGGCCAGAGGCTTATTATTGTTATTTCCAACTTTTAGTTCAATTTTCTTTGATGAATTTTCTGGTCCACTTTGTTTTTCAGTTTTTGGTATTACATTAGAAGATGAACTCAGCTCATTAATCACATTTGTACCAATATCTAAAAGAAAGGAGGAAAGACAGACAAACAGATTTTCGAATCTAAATGAAATATGAAGTTAGCCACAAACTATGATCACTTAAGGAGAAGAAAATTATTATGGTGTTTATTTGTGCTTTGAAATGTTGATGGAAAATATTCTACGGCGACGAATAAGAGTCTCTTCGAGATGGAACACGGTGAAAATATTTACTAACCAGAAGCCTTTCAGATAAAGCTAGTCCTTAAAATCAAGAAGGAATAATTCAAGTTTGATAGTGAGTCGATATTGGTTTGCGAACGGTTGAAAACAAAGGACTACCAGACATCTGTTTCGTACTAGTTTCGAACTAATCGGCTTTATAAACCCACCGGAGTTTGAACACTTGACTTTCCGGTTAGAAGGAACACGCCTAGACCAATCAGCCACTGGGACTGTAGACAATGGCCAGCCCATGAATTCCAACTTCTACCAAATTCATGGTTGTGGTATGACCACCAATCAGTGTCATAGGCAAGTATTTGTTCTAAACTGATTTACCCCACTGGCCACGATGTGTCACTGGAACTTCAGTCAACTTTCTCCTGTAACCAGTCACTAATGAGCACGAGACTAATTTTCAAGAGTTAGTTTGTGAGCAGTAATTTGTACTCCAGACGTCATCAGTTAGTATTGATGTATAACACTGGGATTTATCAAAATAAAATCTTACTATTAATGGAGTTATGCTCTACCACGGTGCCCAAGTTTAATACTTATATCAATTAGTTTACAGGTTTTTGATTCGTTTCAAGTAAATAACTAACTGACCCTTGAAAATTGGTCTCATGCTCGCTAGTGAATGGTTACAGGACAAAGATGACTGAAGTTTCAGTAAGAGCTCGTGGCCAGTGGGGTAAATCAGTTCATGAGTCAGGATAAGCACTCTCTGATGCAATTGGCTGGTGGTTGTGCCACAATCACCAATTGGTAGAAGTTGGAATTCTCGGGCTAGCCATTGTATCGGGTTCAAGTGGATGATTGATCAACAGGCTGTTTTTCTGCCCTGAGAGGTTCTAGGTTCGAACCCCCATGGGTGCATACTGATGAAGAGTCTCAGAATGGTTTGCTGACAGTTCTCTAACTGATATCAATAAGTGGTTAAACTTGGAGTCAATCAAATCCCGATAAACATACTAGCAAGGAAGTAATCCAGTGAATACTGATTGCGGATAAAACCTGTCTTTAATTATATTTAAAAAGTGTCCCATTTATTATATGATATACTGGTGATCTTTCCAATATGAAATAAAAATACTTTGTAATGCCTGAACTTCATTGCGGCTATGGAAAATAAGAGGTCATTCAGAACTGTAAATTAGATGCTTCAGAAAAAATACTGAAGAAAGTAGAATATTACAGACAGAAGTTTGATGACATGAAGATTATCACTGAACATGGTTATTATTCGACATCAACATTTTGGTGCAGGAGAAAAATTGTAGTGGTTACTTTAAGGAAACCAATTCTCATACGCTGGTTAGCAAGGATTTAGTTGGTTAGAGGTTTGATCAAGAGGCGACACCAGCTACAGAACCACTGGAAAACCTGGAATTACTGGACAGTTGTTTCGTTCATGTATCATACTCTTCATTAGTGCGCATCCTTGACCCCACTAGGGGTGGAACCAAAGATCTTCATGTCGTAAGGCGATATAATTGTCTTACAGCCTTCAAATTCCAACTTCTTCCGATTTGCGATGAGTTGCGAACACTAGTCAATGTTATCAGCAAGTGTCCTCTTATCTAGCTTGATAGAATTCATGGACCATTGGATCGGGTTCCAGTTGCTCAATAGTCTAAGAGCTCGCCTTGTGAACTGACTTTTCTGGATTCGAAACCTGGTGGGTGTGTACTGATGAAGATTCTTAGAGTAGTATTCCCAGGTTTTCCAAGGAGTCATAGGACCGATATCACCTGTAGATAAATTGTCACAGTAAGATGTTTCAGTCTTTTATGAAGATAAATTCCAGAACTTTTGAAACTAGTTTTTTTTTCTCAAAATCTTAAGATATTTAGTTTTAGTGGTTAAAAATTCAAGACAATACTGTGTGAATTTATTTAATTAATTTTGCTTAGTTATGAGAAGGAAACCATTGAACGAACATAATCTTGCATAAAAGTTGGATCTGTCACATAGAGTATTCGTGTTCTTCGCCTAGGCGTGTTCTCTTTTCATCTCTAGCCTTTCCTGTCGTTAATTAACCTTCATTTGATTCACTGGAAGTTGAATCCTAGTCAACTAACCATGTTAATTCTGTCGAAGACATCACAACTTATTATACCTAAAAAAAAACAAAGTAACCAGTAACCTACTGTACAATGGTAGTATCAAATTTATCATTTGTAAATTACACGGATCAAGTTAGGAGATAAGCATTTATTGTATCATGTAGATCACATATTACGATCTTAATATCTTTGGTTCCTAAATACGGCTGAGCTGATTTCTCACCCACAGGTTGTGTAGTCTGAAACTGATGAATTTGATTTGTTTGTGTTACTGGTTCGTCTAACAAATTAGCTAAATAAAACCTGGTGCACCAATGATGAACCTGGTCTCTAACCAGAAAAACGACTGTCTCGTGTTTAAATCACTTCAATATGGCTAGAATAATCGCCATTAAAAAAATATTCGTGTTGTTTTTTAAATAAACATTATCGATTTGTAAAGATCAGTCGAATTACAGTTCAAAAAAAGATGTGCAGTTTTTAGTAAGCATAAAAAATGTAATACTGATTTGAATATCAGATGAAATTAAGGCTTCTACAACAAATTTAGGATCATTAAAGCCATGATGGTCAAATGTTAATCTTTTTAATTTGGATTCCGATAGTCTGAGCAATGTGCAGCAGACGAACTCTTTAAGATAAACTTAAGAAAGCCTTGTTAACATCAGTCTTGTGTTCTGTATTTACCCCTTGAGCTAGAACAGAGCTGTGAATAGACTTTGTTTGTCCCTTGTATCCCTACGTAAGTGGAAGTTAGGAAATCCGCCGATATACAAGCTTATTTGTACACCATATTTACACAGCACCACGTAAGCAGTCAAACTGACACTTACACATAGAAGGCGCCAAATTTAGTAGTTTATCTTTAACTCCCGGATGTAAAATAGAGGTGGTTTCGAAGAGACAGCATAATTCAGTGACAATGAATAAGCCTTGTGTTGTTGTTTCACTGGCGTTATCACTGAGGAACTGGAACTGCAAGATGAATCCCTTTTTCGGAAATATCATTACTTTGGCTTGCCTCAGTCATAGATTCATATTCTTGTTGAGGAATTCCTGTGGATAACTACTTTTACTCAGTAATTGTTTAATAATATTGAACACATCATTAAGATACTTATCAGAACAGATATCTCTTTCCCTTTAAACCAAATACTTTATTACACTGCGTATTTATATCTCAAGGGTAAAAAGCTCAGAAAATGAGTATACTGACTAGTTGATGCAGGTTTTTTTCTATTTGCATCTCTTCTTATTGTGCCATCCTCTTTTCTAGTCATAAGGACGTCTAATTTTGCAGGGAAAATGTCAGTTGGAATTAATCCTAGTGGTGATCCATTTTGAAAGATCAACTGAAATTTGAACAGCTTACGGATAAAGCTTAAGTCTTCAACACACCATATAGTAATTATTTAAAACTTTGAAAGGTGGTTAAATTCCTAGCAACTGCAGAATTCTTTTTTGCATCGGTGCACAATACTTTTCTGTTAATTACTGAAAACTAAAGGACCGAAGTTTGAGATATTATCTCTGTAGTCGATTGACTTTCAGTATTTGACAGCGGAGAGAGTTCTATTGGAGCAAAAGGCGATTGTTCACTTAACGCAACTAGATAAAATAATCCGATAAATTATTATTATTATTATTCCTTAGGGTTCCGAGTGCAATATAGGGCTTCAGCAACACATCTCCACTTTCTCCTGATTTCAGCTGTCCTGTTCAGCTATCTAGCTCCACGGTTGACTATAATCTCTCATATGCGCCTCCTCAAACGGCCTCCTCCGTGTCACTGTCACAATAACGACCCATTAGGGTGATGGCCTGCATTGCGCGCGATTTCATTCGACGCTTCTCTCAACGTGCGCCTAATCCATCTTCATTTTCTCTTACATATTTGTTGAACGATCGGCTCTTGGTTGGTTTGTTCCCAGCCAGAGTTCCTTTGTTCTGGCAATCTGATCTTCAGTATGGAGCCAGCGAAGGCAGGTGGTAGCTGTTGATAAAAATCTGTGACTTGCAATTGATAGTGTTCTCTGAGCTCCTTGGTTTAATTGCGGAGCTTTCATCGTCTTTCTGGACGACATCTTCAGCGCAGTATTTAGGGTAAAGTGAAATGATTTAAATTTCTTCATGAGTCTCCCGGTAACCATCTTTAGATATGTATTGACCGTTTTCTATTGATTGGGATTTTAAACTTTCTGATCACCTGATTTACATTTTTATTAGTTGGCATATTTCATCTATATTAACGTGTTTATTAATTCCGTTTTCATTTGAGTACCAGGCTTCTAGGAATTCTCTGGCACATTTGATGTTTCCTCTGTTTAAGATTTTGACATTATCCCAATCAAATTGATGTCCATGATCGTCTGAATGTATTGATACTAAAGAATTTATATCATGTCTTTTCACGGCTGATTTGTGTTCCTGGATTCTTATTCGAAGGGGACGCCCACTTTGGCCGATGTTATGTTTGTTACAGTTCATACAATTTATTTTGTAAATGGTGTTAATTTTATCTCCCTTTTCTATCGGATCTTTTGGTTTGCATAAGATCGAATTAAGCGATTCAGCTGGTTTGTGTGCTACATCTATATCAAACGGTTTCATTATTCTAGCCGTTATTTCAGAGATGTTTCTGATATATGGTATTTCTGATATATAAATCTGTGACTTGTTGGATATCCTCTTCATGAGATGCAGTGCAAATTTCTGACCGTTATTTAATTTTTTTTTTTTGCATTTTTAATATATTTTTGTGCGCTGAAGTTTCACTATCAGTGTGATAGCTTTTGTGGTGAAGGGACGCTAGCTCCACGCCCAACCCTCCCTATTTACCCAGCCTTGGGACCGGCTAGAAGATTACCAAGCTAGTTAACTAGGCGAGATTTTTCTTCCATAAAGTATGCATTAATTTCATCTTATAATTGTTTTCTTATTTTAAAATATTACTCTGAGCTTGCTTTTTTTTACATGTGAGTTACTATGGTAAAAGCACTTAAACAGAAAACAAGAAGTTTTCTGTCATATTATAAGTTATATATATATATGTACAACGTATACAAATGATTAGAAACTATAGCTATACTATCACTTGAGGAGATAAAATTCACACCTGTATCATTTTCTACAATCAACCATTTTTTTTCTATTTGGTTTATTTATTATACTATACTGTTTCTTGTTTTACTGAAATAATAAGAAAGCTTATGTCTGTCACTATGGTAACCAAGGGAGTAAGTGAACAGTGAAGTGTTATTGTTGTTGTTGTTTGCTTCCGCCTAGAAAAGTCGTTTTTATTTTGTATTGTTGTTTTTTGTTGTTGTTAATACTAAGTATGAGATTAGCGTATCAGGGAAATAATATCTAGTCATTATGTATGTATATATGCGTTGATATGTTGTTGTATTTATACATTTAATGGGCTTGTGATGCAATTGATGCTAACTTGTCTAGTAGAGAACTACTAGATACTATAAATCTTAGAATACTATGGTTAATAGACACTTTTTGTTTTATAGAGGAAGTAAGACAGCAGTACTAAAACTAGGCAAATTTTTTAAATATTGAAAGTATACAGGAAAGGAGAAATTAACTTATGAGACGTACTATGCAACATAGGTGGGAAATATATTAGCTACTATGTAAGTCCAATAGTTCAAGCTTTGATATTTAATTTTGGTGTTGCGTAAACGTATGCAAAAAGATAGATGATAGTGATATCAGAGAGTGTATCTAAGTACAGATCTGGGCAAAATACGTCTTCCGTAGATTAGAATCACAGTTTGCACATGACCTCCATATTCTGCTTCTATTGTTTTCCTCTCATGTTCTTTATGTTGATTCACAGACATCACTCATTTCTTCACCTCTCCACTAAATCAGTATCTCCGCTATTCAACATTCTTTCAGATGATATACATATTTGTATCTGCATAAATATACCACTTAAAAATCTTTTCAGTAGGGCACACCACAGTGTCAGTAAGCCTGGTGGTCCCGTTTGGATTCAGCCATCATTAGGCTGAATCAGGTGTAATGAATGATTGGACAGTCACCCTTCACTTACGGATATAATGAAAATCATAATAACCGTCCACATTCATGACTTATTTCAATAGCGAATTACCTTGAATTTTACACGGTAATTTATTGTTCTTTTCAGAGAAACTATGCATTCCAAAGTAGGGGTGTTTCAACAATTCAGCACAACTCCAGCGTTCAGAAGGATCCATTCGTACACATGCCTAATAACAAAAACAAACAGGACAGTAACATTATTTTGATTTCAGTAAATATAAAGACATAGTAGAATAATACATTATTAAAGTATGAAAAGTTATGCTGATTCATTCAACCATTTTTCCCACTAAATAAATAAAATTGCGTACAATACATGTGGGCAATAATTCGAATTTGTAGGGATTTTGAATTAATTTCAGTTGTTAAATTTTAGTCATGAAGAAATATCAGTTGGAAAGATCATTGAAAACGAGGAAGAATTGAATAGCTAACTGTTTTGTCCGATTTTCGGGGTTTTCATCGGTGCGAACCTACGACCCTACTGTCAGGGATAAACCCCGAGTACTTCAGGTTACAAGACAAAGCTCGTTGACCATTCAACAACTTAGTCCGAGAACTGAATGACCCGTGAAATTTGATCCTGGCTCGTAACAAAGCTTCAGTAGGAGGTTATGACCACTACCATGGTGTCCACCATGTCAAGATGAAGTGGATGTTCATCCAAGGCACTGATCAGAATTCACGGGTTATTGAATGGTTGAATGGTCGATTTGCTGGTTTTCATAACCTGATTGTCCCAAGTTCAATCCACATCAATGTGATCATGGCTTCTCACTGTTAAGGTGTCCCGAAATCGAACAAAAAACAGCTGGCTGTCCAGTTCTTTTTGCCTTTTAATCTTCTCTCTAATTGATGGTTATTCGTCAAGGAAATCTAACATTTGAAATTATAAAATACTTGAGTACATAATTTCGTATGTTTCATATTTATGAGAAACATTCGACTTATCAGATTTTCGAAAAATACTCTAAAGGTATTATATGGATAGATAGTAATGCAAGTAAAAAGAAAACTAGCAAGTGATTCATAGAAACTTGGCGCCTGATATGATTTGAAGTTAATGGGTCAGAATAAAAAAGAGAGAAATTATTGCGTGATGTGAAATGCATGTCACCAACCTACTGTGAAGTTTATATCATTATATATATTTCAGATAATTCGCTTTGTCTGTTTAGCAACGAATTCATCTTTTATATTGACGCCATTTTATATATAAAGACACTTATTCTTATTATGAAGATGAGTTCTGCCTTACGCCTTCTTCTATCTTTCACTGAAGATTTATTATTAATTTTCCGTATAATATGCCTAGGCAGTATTCATCCCTTTGCACTCTATCTGTTCTAATACAAAGATATTATTTGTATAAAACTATATGCTACTAACTGGCTGAGATGAGTAGTTGTATGCTGATCATATCAACCAGTAGTGCTTGCCAGCCAAACCGAGGTGATCTCGACACTAAAAGGGGCCATTTTGCTTGTCTAGGGTCCAGTTCATCAATGTGCTAGCCGCTGCCAGTCAGCTCAGAGAGCCGAATCAATTGAAATCACTCGATTTCTGGTTAGCTACTTGGACGAATTAGTGTTACCACAAGTCTAATTCACGGTTTGCAAATAAGTTGGCAATTTGAAATGTACTCATTTCAAGAGATAACACCACAGTATTTGATCTGCTTGATACCATGAATGATTAGCAGCGTTGAAAACGGTTGAAACGATCTAGCTATCAAACACTGCTAGTAGTATATAGTAGTAGTATATAGAGTAGTATATAGCCACTCATATGAATCAATTATTAGTATGCAGTTTTATGCGAGTATCCTTCATTTCGTGATTACTCTATATAGTATCAAGCAGATCTTAATAATTTGGTTTCCAGAAGGAACTACGGTTAAAATTTCACCCTCTGAACTGCACACCCTGCAAATCGCTAATAAAATTGCAGATTGTGAATTTTTATTTAAGGTTGTTATTTGTACTTTGAATTTAAAGGCATATTGGCCATTGGGTACCATCCCAGTAGCTGAATAATCTACAAACTCGCTTTGTTATTGGAAGGTCATAGTTTCGATTTCTGCTGGATGGGTTCATGGGGACGTACTGGTGAAGAGTTCCACACAGGGGGGAAAGGGCTATCGATTCCCCCTGGTTACCCAATGGCTCTATAACTAAAGTCATTTGGTGGTCAAAATTGATAAACAATCAGATTCCTACAAGGTGACACCTGAAAAAGTGTCTAAGTGACTTCAGCACAGATTACACTGTCTTAATGTAATTTAGAATGAAAACACGTGATGGCTGACTGAATGCTGTAATATCGAATTCCACAACAGTTCCCTGTTTGATTCACAACAAGAATTAATGCTTTACACTGTAAACTTCTGATTGATATGAACAGTTAATAACCTCTTTCATAAGCCCATATTGCTCACTGTTTACAGTAGTCGCACAGAATGCTCATAATCGATTAGGCTTCTCAGCAATATAATCATAAATTCCTTGGGTTCTAAGTGCACTATAAGACACTCCGCTATTTTCTTCTGTTCTGTGCAGTTATCCTCATCGTGCCTCATGATTACCCCTACACTATTATCTCCTCCTTATATCCTCGGAGCTACGCCCAACTCATCGCTTCCACATGACGACCTGGTGTGACATATCACCCGATGGTCTCCTCAACATGTTTCCACTCCACCTTCCTTTTATTCGGGGTATTTGTTGAGCATTCGATTCTTGACTAGTTCGTTCGCTGAGTTCCTTGTCACTCATTCTTTCTGGATGGCCATATGTTCTTAACAATACAGCCAGCGAATACAGATATTGATATAATTCTGCTTTTGTTAACACACGCGCCAAGTCTCTGCCCCATAAAGGAAAAATGACAAGACATTTGAATTAAAAATCCAAATTCTTTTGTCTGTGCTGAGTGCAGAAGATTTTCAAATGGATTTAAGCGTGATGAAGGTCTGTCTTGTCTTTTCGGATTCTGGTTTTGCTATCTTTATCCATGCTGTCTACCTGTAGTTAGAACGATTCTGTCTAGACAGATGAAGGAAGTGGCCTGTTTTAAATCTTTTTTTGATAGTGATTGGTGCTCTTCATCACTTCCGTCTTCTCTATGTTCCCCTGAAGTCCAGTCTTCGTTGCTTCTTCTGTCAACTTCGTCGCAGCTCGTAAGTACTCCAATTTATTTGACATTAGGATTAAGCCCTCCGTGAAGTCTTGATTTTCTTGGGTCTACTTATTGGTTCAACATCTTCCTATCTTCTAACTCCCTACATGATCTAGATCACCACAATTAGGGATATCATCGGTGTTAGTAAGAACGGACTGAAAATTTACTATGATTTGCGGAAGCAATTGCAACCAAGCGTTTCAAATCAAACTTATGCATACAGAAAGACAGTGTAATCACTCACTCACTCACTCACTGCCTCGGTAACTGCATTTTGATTACATTGATTAGTCATCCATATTAGTGATTTCAACTCATCCAGCAAGTTTTCAATCTTATGAACTATTATCTTCTTGAGTTGCCATGTGAACTTACAAGCTAACACTGTACTTTAGATTTTTCTGTTTTCTGTCTTCTCCTATCTTCCCCCCCTCCTTTTTTTATTTTGAAAGCATGTGAATTGATAACTTCAACTAAAAAATTGTAATACTTATATTAAGAATGCAGTAATTTTAAAATATTTTCTTTACTACTATTCAAACATTGAAGTATGTTATTGTCATTATTTATAACCTATATAATTTCACTTAGTATGCAGTTATCTGATGAGAACCTGTGAAATAGAATGATGGTATTATTTTTATACTGTAAGTCTTTGTTGAAACTTATCAAGGGAACCAAATGTATAAAATATGGCGTAATGCTTACTTGCAGGAAATCCAGTTCTTTCTGACTTAGTGTCATAGGATATGTCCTCTCGAATCTCTTCTCTAATGGTTCCTAAATACGAAAAAAAATGAAAGTTTACGATGAATTCACATAGGGTTATTTAAAACCAAACGATGTAATAAAAGTTATGGGTTTATTACAATGAATCTGAGCTAGTTTACACTTAGAAGAGTGTAAATAAAGGTCATCTTTATACCTGACCGTCAAAAAACGAAACGGCTATTAACAGTGTACCCTGTTCATGTATTCTAATGCTTACTACTGCTTACTGTTGAAGAGTCCCAAACTAGGACGAAACAGCTGTCCAGTACTCCCAGGTTTTCCAATGGTTCTCTAACTACTGTCAGCTCATGATGAAATCCTGAAATTTTCATTAACATTGTTAAGTTATTTCTTTCATGTGAGACACAGACTTGGCTGGTGCATTACCAAAAGCATTTTTAACAGGCTACTGTACAATTTTATCAATGGTTGACTTCATTAGCTCTATACTGAAGATCAGACAACTGACCAGAAAGAATTGCCAACAAGAAATTCTAGGAACGAACGAACTGGAAGCTCAAGGGTAACTTGGAGTAGATTATTTGGTAGGGAGGAGATGACAGCCTATGGGTAATTATGCAGCTAGATGAAGAGGACTGCAGAGAATAAGAAAAGGTGTGCTCCTGAAGCATTATTTTCCACTGGGAACCTAGGAAGATAATGATAATAAAGCTTAATAATTACTGATATTACTCCCTTGGGTTCTGAGTGGGACACAGGGCTTCAACAACAATCTCTACATTTTTCTATTCCCTGTTGTTATCTTCAGCTTACTAGCTCCGTAATTAACCATAATCTCTCATCTCCTCTTCACCACACAATCTGCTTCATGTCACTCTCGCACTTGTCGCCACTCGTCGCCTACCGTCTGGATTCCACTCTAGTGATGGCCTACGCAGCGTGCAGTGTCATGTGATGGTCTCCTCAACGTATGCCCAATGTATCTACATTTACCCCTACATATTCGTTGAAAAATCGGCTCTTGGTGGCTTCACTGTCGGCCAGAGTTTCGTGTTGCTAATTCTTTCTGGATAATTGGCCGGCTATTTGATCTTTAGTATGCAGCAGCCAGCCAGAGAAGGTGACACCTGTTGATGAGAGTCTCCAACCTGTTGGAAACTCTTTCCGTTACACACCAAGTTTCTCACCTGTATAGAAGGACCAACTTGACATCGGTGTTGAAAATCCGGATCATGTTCTTTATGCTGGCTGAGTGGCAGTAAAAGATTTCCAAACTGGATTCAGGTTGATGAAGCCGTATCTGGCCTTTCTGATTCTGGCTGCCGGGCTTTGATATCTTCATCTGTATTATCCGCCTCTGGTTGAAACTGTGCTTCTCAGATAAGGGAAGGAAGTGTAACCTCTATTAAATCACTTCCGTTCATGGTGACTGGTGTGTTGGTTGTGTTGTTACTGCTAGTAGTGGCCGGTAATCTTCATCACCTCCGTCATCTCTCTTCTATGAGGCTTTATCACTCTGACTCAAATTTTTGTGTTCCTCGCAAGCAATTTATGGATTTAGCTATCCACGCTCAGTTCGAATACTCGTATGACCAACTCAAATCACTTTTCGCAACATCCAATGAAGATTGGAGTTTGTTTAAAGCTAAGATGGCGGACATAAATTTTGATAACTACAATTTTAGCGAAGATAAAGTTTTAATGTCCTGCTAGAATATTTCTACATGTCATGATTTTAAGGTCAGTTTTACATGAGTATAAAAATAAACGCTGACAAAATGTATCGTGTGATAGTTTCTAGTTGTAACTATTTGTCAAATTTCTGGGCTTCTATAATGAATAAATTTCTTCAACACAATGTTTTACCTTATTAAAAGGACAGAGGAGTTTAGTGTCATATAAAATATATAATTAGCTACTGTTATTAGACGGTTAGAGGCAATCTCCAGGATGCGTTGGACCTAGATATCCTGCTTACTAGCAGTCACCAGTTGGCAGGATACGCCTGCATTGCTTAAGTAAGTCGTGTCACCTACACAGTGCTGCAGTCAGAGACATTACCACTGAGTTATTCGGGGCTCTCAATCCACCTTCTGTAGGACTGTATTGGAGACTTTAACTGGACACTAGTTAGTAACTAGTGTAATGTATCCAGTCCTTTCTTCGGTGGAGACTGAATTCTATCTAACTTGATTGACAGAATTGAGCCTGCATCAAAGAAAGGACTGGATGCATGACACTATTTGCTGGCTACCTAATTTCCAATCAAAGTATATTTAACTGCCTTCCCTTTCATTGCTGAATGGAAATAATTAAAAATCATAAATTGTGCAAAACTTCCATAAACTTACTACGGACGATGAAGATGGGACTTGTATACCAGAAAAATATTTACTTTGTTCAAATATCTGTCGATGTCGTGGATATAGATCGCCTGAAAGAGTTTACAAAAAGAAGAAGATATTTCACATTCAGAAAAGTAAATAAAATTTGCAGTTAGTTAAATAATAACTGGAACTAGTCAGCTTGAAAATCTGTAGATGAGTTAAACCCAGCAATTATTTTTTAGGCTACATCAAGATAAAAATGCAGTTTCGAAGATACTTTTATCCGAAACATATCTTCAAAATATTCTCTTTAATGAAGTGCTGTGTACGAAAACGTACTAGCGGTATTACCTATATTAGAGATAGTTGTTGGAGGAGTTATTCAACTACTAGAAACTGTGGTACTACCAGTAACTAAATCAAAATGTCAGGTACCTTATAAAGACGTCAGTTTCTTCACAAGTAAAGAAAGCTATCCATGAAACATTCATAACCCAGTCAACGACATCGCCAAGTGCTCAGAAATCCTACAAACAAACAGATTCGAAGTTGACTTATCACCAACTGATTTGTTCGTAAGCATTACCTTGAGTTGTTATCCTTGGAACCATGGCTATACAGACTTTAGTTGCTTCTTCCAATTCTTCAATTTCGTCACTGTATGTCTGGTATGGGTGCGGGATTCATCTGACCTACGTTGGTAAGAGTATCTATCTGCGAAAAAAGCTTTATTAAACTATCCAAATTGCCAGGGCCGTTCATTATTACCTCAGTTCCTGACGCAGTGCTACTCTGCTTACCATCCTCAGCAGCAGTTTTTGTAGTAGTCTTTCCTGGCAGGGACGACAGAAACATTTGGAGTCATTTTCTCATCATTATGCAGCAAAAAATGGCTTTAGAAGGGTAGGCTTTGAGTCAGCACCTTTACTTTCCATGTCAATTTGAGCTGCCTTATCGTCTTCCAGAATATCATCCTCATTATAGTTGTCGTCTTGCTCAACATCTTCAACATCACCTATTTCTCTGACAACTCACTCGTTATCGTTTTCTCCACCATCTTCTTCAACGACTTTATATTTCATCTTTTGTCGGTATTGATATTAAATCCACAATAAGTTTTCTTAAGGATTGGCCACGAGGTAACATAAGTTAGGTAACCGCTAGAAACCATAGAAATACTGGATTTCTGTCTCGTCTTAGTTTGTGATGAGATCTCAGCAGATGTCAGTTAATGATCAAACCTGTAACCAATCAAATCCCTGTAGACCAACACATGATCAAACTACTTTAAACATTCTGAATCGTGTATAGTCGTATGGATAGGCATATGAGTGTCTCAGTTAGGATAAACGTCCATTAGGAATGACGTGGTTTATTATCATTGGTCATTATTAGTTAAGCATTATAAACTTAGTCTAATTATTTGTCACATAAATTTGTTAGAACCATTATATTTGCGTTACAGGCTTTATATAATGAAATCAGACTCTGAAATTGAGGAATCTTATATAAAATGTGATCAAGAACCTGCATCGAATATATCATCTGAACAACATGAAGGAGAATTTACAGTCTATAAATGATAATATGCTTTTACCACTTGATAAAACGTCGCGTTTACGTGCATCATATAAATAGCCTGATAGTTTCACCGGTTGGACAACTAGTCCTAGTTTAACTGCACCAATGCTATCCACCAGTTAATTTGAGCATAACCTAGTTTTACTGCTCCTATGCTTGTGTACGGCCTGCTTAAAATCCAAGCCAGCGAATTCCAGCAAACGTGATTCAAACGTGACTATTGACCTCTTGAATCGTCCTACAAATCTTGTTGCTCAGATTGTGAAGGATGTTGTAAAATGGATGTGCGAAGACTTTGCATTCTAGAACAAGGTGATGAGCTGTAGGCTACAGGTTGAGGTGGAGTTAAGCAGGCCCAAACTAGAGCGAAACAGCTGTTCGGCACTCCCAGGTTTTCCAGTGGTTCTGTAACCGATGTCAACTCATTACGAAATCCTCCAACCAATCAAACGAAATCTCTACAAACTAATACTTCATAATATTTGTATATCTTAGGTCCAATTTCGACCACAGTTCATCCAATTTCGTTTGTTTCATTTTGATGCCTGTTTCATGACTTATATAACTGAACAAACGTTTTAAAAAACAAGAGTTCTCATCTTTTATAATATAAACCTCTGTTATTTCAATTTCGATTAATTTCCTTGAAGACGTTCGGGCTAGTTTGACGAACGGAACGTTGGAATTACTCATTCCAGTTTCACTTAGATTTTACAAATACAGTTTTCACATAGTTTACATAGGAAAACAAAAGGTTATTTAATGCAACTGAAATAACGAAGGGTAAGGATATTTGTAAGTACAGGATGGAGATCCATGTCGAAAAAGGTCAACGTAATAAGCTATTTCTAAGTTTCCAGACTCCACAACAGGCCAGGGTAGTAACAGCAGTTGGACATGTTTCTTCTGTACACAGAGAACCGGTTGTTTTAGGCGAACTGTGGTGTCTGGAGAATTCAGTACGTGGATGCTTTTGGCAATTTATTTAGTACTTGATAGATGATAGAAAAGGATTTTCCAATGCTAGCTTTCTGGCCCGTTTGGATGAGGTGGCTGGTAAACCGCAATTCAGTGGGGACGTGGTTAGTGAAGTCCTACCTCCAGTATTATCTAGAGCTATAAAACGGACTTACAGTGCCGCCATCCTTTGTTTGTTATTTTTCAGATGTTGACCAACTATGATTGCTCAGGAGAAAGACAGACTACCTAGCTATGCCACTTCTGTGTATATTCACAAATGTCACTGCTTATGCTGAGAAAGCTAATATAGGGCGAACATCTAGGCAGCTTAACTAACGTATTACTGAGCATCTTCCTTCATGGTTCGGAAAAGTCTAAGTAAAATCTATAGGAAGTTCTGATTTGATTGATAGAGATCATCAAGTGAACAGAAGATGTGCCTTCAAAGTTATCTATCACATTCCATCGAGCCTTTGGAACGGAATTCGAACCCGCCTTTTACACATAGCCGAAGCCATGGGAATTCAAGAGAAAAATCCTATTCTTTGCATACAAAAGAAATTTGTTCTACCTTTGTTTCTTCCTTGGCCTAGGTAAATTCTAATCACAGCCTTCCCACTACTTCTTGTTTTTCCATTTCCTTCATACTTTTATACTACTTATATTTTATACTACACTCTGTTTATCTGTCCACTTCACCTTTGATATTACGTAACTTTGAGGATTTGACTTAATTTATTTATCGACTTGTCTACATATACACATGTTACTGCCTGATCTCACACGGACTGACTTGTCATAGGAATATATACACATGAAATTAATAAAAATGTAAGATTTCATCATGAGCTGACATTAGTTAGAGAACCATTGGAAAACCTGGGAGTACCTGGGAGTAGTTACCTGGGTTCCGGTGGGAAGTCGTGACCAGTAGGGTGCAGCTGGTCGGGTGTGAGGACAAATACTCGCCGAAGACATTGGCTAGCGGTCGCGCTATGTCGTGAATTGGCAGAAGTTAGAATTCAAGGACCATTGGATCGGGTCCCAGTGGCCTAATGGTATACGAGCTCGCCTTGTAACCGGAAGGTCCTGGGTTTGAATCCCGGCGGGTGCGTACTGCTGAAGAGTCCCAAACTAGGACGAAACAGCTGTCCAGTACTCCCAGGTTTTCCAATGGTTCTCTAACTAATGTCAGCTCATGATGAAATCCTGAAACCAATCAAATCCCTGCAAACCAACACTTGAAAAATGTAAGAGGTGAGAAAATAGACTCAGGTCAAGTTAGTTATTCTTATCGCCACCTGCATAAACCTTATTATCAATATTTTCTTAACATTATAATCATCGTTATTAACTACGTTAAAAAAACATTTACCACATTATTATTATTATCAATACTATTGTTATTATTTGATCCACAAAATCACCATCATTGGTTGAAATTTTTTGTATATAAATCTATGTAAGTTACAGTAAAGCCTGAAGAAGGTCTAATTGAGAATAATATTGCTCACTTATATATCAAAACAAGTGATTCAGCGAAGAGACTCTTTTCAACGAATTTATCATCAAGCTGTACAGTCGTATATATATATATGGTTTTTAAGAATTTATATCCGGTGAGGGAATTGAATCACAGGTGTGAATGCATAAAATAATAATAATCATATGAAGTTCAATTAAAACTAGAATGTTTGTGATTATAATCATAGTTAAGTGTCAATATAGAATAATTCATAAGATGGATAGAACTTGAAAAAGGGTGCACAATTATAGGATTAGTAGACAAATCGAATAAAATAAAAACGTTTCGTATTATTGTGTGAGATTTGATAGCATAGAATTTAACTTCGCAAAACAGAATTGATTTAGAATGACAAGTGGAACAAGTGAAATAATACCGGGGACAGTTCGAAGCGAGAATAGTAATAGTAACAATTGACGTAATAAAGGAAGGGAATACAAACTGAATGGACAAAATGAAAAAAATTGGTTGAGCCAAACTATGATTGGTGATTATCATACTTAAGCATAGAGGGATTAAGACCATGAAAGTTGGAGAGATTCTACAAACTTTTCTTGTACACAGAGATTTGGCTTTTCTGTTTCGATAGATGAAGCTGCAGCAACGCAGGTGAGTCGAGTACGTAGGGATTTGGGTAAATTACTCTTTGCCTTGTAGATGACTTTCAAGGCGGAGGCTATAGAGATAGGGTGATCATTACCGACAAGATGTTCAATGATCGTGCTTCTTATTGCTCCACTTCCACCTCTTCGCAACCATGCAGGACAGTGTTCTTTCACCCTCTTGGACAAAACTCGAGACGAACGACCAATATACCTAGCTCCACACGAGCAGGTGAATTGATAAACACACATAGAGTTGGTCAACATTGGGATCTTGTCCTTCAGGTTACTGAACAGTAATGGTTGACTGGTAAAGGCTATTCTCAGAGACGCAGCAGGGAATGTTCTTTTCAGGGACTGTGATATCCTTCGTTTCATGATATCAGAAGCTACGTCCCCTATGAATTCCAAGCTCATGTAAAGTATTTTCTTGGGTACG